GTCCGTGACACTGATTGTATCACGGTTATGACACCTTGGAAGCTACAGCCCACATACGGCTGAATAGTTTTCAACTCACTGTGTCACAGAATATAACACCCAGCACTGACAATATATAGGATTTGACATGAAAGAGGATATAGAGCTTTCTAATATCCCAGATCCCAGGTTCTAATACAGAGGGACCGTTCTAAATTTCCGCTTCTTGCATCTTTGATATATCACTAGCCATTTACACATTATTAAAAAAAAGACATAATAAACAACAGTGGTGTGATTTAAATACACAGAAAGCATTGTTGACCTACGCAATTTAAAAATCTAAAATAAAATCAGAATAAACTCTCAAAGACAATAGTAAAAATAGTACAGCGCACAAATTTCAGCACAGTCTTCAAATGAAAATAAACAATTTGTGCATTTAATGGCTTTGCAATTTATTGTGCAACCCTCAGATCCTCAAAGGCTAAAAGTATAATAGTTTTATTTTTCTTCATCTTTATAGTCATTTTACCGATCGGCTGAACTATTAAGTTATAACGTATAGATTTTGTGCTAGAATATTATAACACAGCACTAAATATTTCTTTACAATGTGCGGTCTAAAGGCAGAAACTGAGACATATCCAACATCACTGCTGATATTTTTGTAAATATCCTGAGGCTACAGCCTACAACTTGTACAGAGTAAAAATAGTGTGGAATGAAATCCTTGCAACAAATGGTGATGGCAGGACACACAGAAAAAAGGACAGAGAACAGATGGCCTTGCAGAGTAATACAGCGGTTGTGAAGCACTGAGAATCACTAGAGAAACAGCCACAAATGAATCAGTATGTTCTTGTGGGAGATAAGTCTGTTTGATTTCCGAATTCTGCAAATTTATTTTGGGTGGCTAGTTACAGTAAAAAAAAAACGGTTTTAGTGAATGGCTCACAAACATTTGTAAGAATATCCTTATAATCTGCACTAACGCAAACCTAAAAACTAACACTTATACAACAAAAAACAATTAAAAAACAAATATATGTCAGTCATATGTATTACATAAGATGGGAACCCTTACTTTATTCATCAATGATGCATGCAGAATAGAGAATTGTCTTGTTGTAGAATATTACATATTCTATATGTTCCTATTCAAATACATATTAAGATTTGGTCCACACCTGTGAACGTGAATTATCCTTCAAACTGACAATTTAACAAGGAACGATTGCTATGAGCCACTGAGAAATCTTTCACAACCAATCACAAAATAATAATTAGATCCCCAATTCAAAGCATGTCCTACATATAGGTGTTATTATTTTTCTGGACTTTGAAATACACATTATAAAGCTGAATGGATTCCACTGCAGAGCCTTTTTGGAGTGCGGGTCACATGACATAACACGAGAAAGCCAGAAAGAAAGGTTTTTGTATAAGGAGTTCGGTAACAGTTCAATTTAATTACTCTATAAAACAGACAGAACTTAACCCTTAGGGCTGGAGCTAAAAATTAGTCCCCAAAACATGGTGGGATCGCGCAAATTAAATCTATTAAGTCCCTGGCAACTGCCCATAATAAGTTTACTATGGCAGCATTGCTTTCCCTAGAGCAATGGAAACCCCTTTGCAAAATGTATCTTACTGTTCATTATGTTACATGTAAAGAATGGGTCATTGAGCTAATTTGCCAATTAATGAATGAACCACCATCCTAATATCATGTACATAAATTGGCACATGGGCAAAACAAAGCAAGAAGCACTACTATAAGCAAAGTTGTGCTGATACTAACAATGGTTAACATACTTATTCGCCCGTAGTGTTTTTTTTTGTTTTTTTTTATGGAAGTTACCATCCTGCCTCCCCTATTTGTCTGTTAAAGGAATTTAGCAATGTTTAGCAAGTTCAGTCACGAAGCATAACCAGAATTAAGCCATGCTTGTCAATGTATTCTAGCAGAGTCAGCCTTTTAGGAACAGTCAAAGCCATTTTTTATCTGATCCATGGAGCAAATTCTAAGGCTCATTTTCTTGAATAATTTTCAGGAACTATACAAAGTACAGGAAAACGGGGTCTAAATTCTCTTTACATTATTTTAGTATATGCATATGTGACTCGTTGAGAATGAAGGATGTGTTGAGTTGAGAACAGTTGTAACAATGCAGAAGTCAGATGGACGCACAGTTTTCCTTAGCTGTCACTCATGGATATGTGTTAGTGCATCATTTAATCATCCATAGTCTTTTTGTATCATGGTGTCCATAACTGCACTCCAGAGTACAAGTGAGGGTGAAACCTATCCTTTCTGTGAAGCACACTCAGCACTCTCTTGGGGCGGAGAGGATCAATGCAGCTCTAATGCACAGTACCTATATTATTCACATGCTTACTTTAAATAATGCAATACCCAAAAACTGCAGATACCATCAAAACATTCTACACCTGCTTACAAGCAATCAGTGATAAACATTATGGGATCAATAACTATTGATTTTTGTTCTACATCAACTGGCAACAGCCACACATAATAAATATGTAGTAAGGTACAAAATCAAAAGACTATACCAGATGTGGGACCAAAGTAATGAAATGGTTCATACTGTTTAGAATTCAGCCAGCACTACAACATTTTTCACAAGTGCCAACAATGTTCCGAATATATATATATATATATATATATATATATATATATATATATATATATATATATAGACATAGCAGAAATGACGGCACTCCAAGGACTTTATAGAGATTTTCAAATAAAATTTAACTTTTATTCAATCCATTTAAAAACCTGTTTTGTCCTGATGAAAGCTCCATGTGGGAGCTGAAACGTTGACTTTTTAAATGGATTGAATAAAAGTTTAATTTTATTTGAAAATCTCCTTGGAGTACGGTCATTTCTGCTATGTCTAGATGATCCTTGCCAGACCAGCACCGGGCACCACAGGATTACACCAGGAGTGCAAGCCCTCGCGCTATATATATATATATATATATATTTATATATATGTTACATTATCTGACCTGTTTTTTTTTTTTTTTCACCTTTTCAAATCCTATAATATGTATATATAATAGAAATACAGTTGATACCATTAAGCCCCTAAAATGTGACATGATCCTAATTACAGTAAAGGTGGAATCAAAACAGATAGCAATACAAACATATTGCTATCAGCTTACTGACAAGCTCCAATCGCATTTGTGAATGAAGCTATCAAATATTATTACAGATCAGGTCCTTCACAGTAAGCGGTCACGGCAAACTGGGATGAGCATACTGTGAGCATGCCAAGAGGAAGTAGTATAGCTTTCTCCAGCAATGTCCATTAATAATGGGGTGGGCTGCAACAATGTTTTTGTAAATTGATGAAATTAAAAGCAATTTTTTCACAGTGACAGTTCACCTCCCTGCACTTTAACCTATGAAATGACCATAAGCTTTTATGGTGCTTGGAGTGTCCCTTTAAGTGTTTGATCTTTAACTGCAGTGGATAAAAGAAATAGGATAATCAAATGTATTCTGGTAAGATATTGTCTTACCCCCGTCTTTTAAAATTATTTTTTATAATTATTATTTTTTGACATTGTATATATACTGTATTACGTTCAAAATATTTAGTGATCTTGTTTTGTGATTAGTAATATGAAAATGTACCTGCTGAGAGACCATAAGCACACATTAATCTGCGATGAGAGTTACTGACTAGCGCATTGAGATCACACTACTAAACATCATAATACTTTCTGTGTATATGTGTAGCTGACATTATGTTACTTCAGCACTCCCAGTAGTTACCGTATATATATATGGAAAGGAGATAGAAGCAACTCACTGCTGTCTACCCAGCTCCACTTCCCACGTAACATAGAAACATAGAATGTGACGGCAGATAAGAACCATTCGGCCCATCTAGTCTGCCCAATTTTCTAAATACTTTCATTAGTCCCTAGCCATATCTTATAGTTAGGATAGCCTTATGCCTATCCCACACATGCTTAAACTCCTTCACTGTGTTAACCTCTACCACTTCAGCTGGAAGGCTATTCCATGCATCCACTGCCCTCTCAGTAAAGTAATACTTCCTGATATTTTTAAGCCTTTGCCCCTCTAATTTAAGACTATGTCCTCTTGTTGTGCTAACATATCAGCAGTTGACTAAGGTAGTGTGAGTAGGCTGCTTATGCCAAGCAAGACTCCAGCTTGGGAGAGGGCCTGCAAAAGATGGCACTTTCTGTTATCTCTACTTAGCACTATAAACTAGCAAGCAGCTAGAAGTCTCTTCCCCCACACTGTTGTAGCATGGCCCCATCAGCCTGACAGCTGAAATACAGATGGGGGCATTCATGACAGGGTCATTGGGAGATCCAGGTAGATAAAGAGAAACTTTAATTGAATTATGGCGAGGGTTCTTTTACTCTAAGGATATCATTGGGACGTGTCCTATTCTGCAAGAAATTGGTAGTAGGTTTATTCCCAGTCTGCAGGTGCTATTGGTGTCTGCTGGACTTCATTTATCCTCTCTCCTGGTTAGGATATGCAAGGAGAGGAGTTGGAAAAACAAAAATCAATGCAAAGCGTAAATCACACTAATCTCAAACAGTCTATATAGAAATATATACATATATAAATATATGTTTAAAAATAAATAAAACACACACACTTAAGCATGTATAGTGAAAATACAGTAAAGATCATGCTTTGCTTCTAGCAATTCTGTTGATGTGGAAAACCAGGTTATAGCAGATGAGATGGAAAGAGCGATCTCCATAGCAACAATGCATCTCTTAAAAAAAAGGGGGGGGGTGGGGGGGAGGGTGTTCATTGCCAAAGGCCCAAGTAAACAATTTCCAAGGGAGGTTTTCAGAGCTTGTAGGTATCCCTGTTACAAGATAATCTCACAAAACTGCTATGTTAAGTGAGAAGATCATGTTAGAAGGGGCAACACATTAAAGTACAGTTCACACTGGACCAGTATCAGCTGCATGGTGACTGATCAAGGCGCATAAAATAAGCATAAATGTTATGCAAATACCATATGGACAGAGAAATATGTAAAAGTGAATTCATGCTTTATAAATAAGAAATTGCATTTATTCCACTGCTGTTTTATGATGAGTTTCATCTACTTAAGGCGGCAGTGAATTTGCAAAGATTTCCGATGCTAACATTGCCGCATGGAGGGGGGTCAGAAGGCATGTAAAGGTGAGTTATACTTATTTGGAACTGGCACTCGTGGGCCTGGCCATCTTCTTTAGGCGGGTGCTCTTCAGCCACCAGCTGACATCACTGCTATACTCTTACAAGACTCTCGCTTACTCGCGCAAGACTTGGATCCTCAATAGACAGAGCCAATTCCCTAGTCATCACTGGTGACGGTTGGGGTGTTTAACACTTCTAGATGAAGGTAGGTACGCCCAGTGTCTACAATGTCAGGCGTGAGAAATATACAGAGACAAAGTAGCCCCTACTTTGTCTCTGCATACAGGGAGTGCAGAATTATTAGGCAAATGAGTATTTTGACCACATCATCCTCTTTATGCATGTTGTCTTACTCCAAGCTGTATAGGCTCGAAAGCCTACTACCAATTAAGCATATTAGGTGATGTGCATCTCTGTAATGAGAAGGGGTGTGGTCTAATGACATCAACACCCTATATCAGGTGTGCATAATTATTAGGCAACTTCCTTTCCTTTGGCAAAATGGGTCAAAAGAAGGACTTGACAGGCTCAGAAAAGTAAAAAATAGTGAGATATCTTGCAGAGGGATGCAGCACTCTTAAAATTGCAAAGCTTCTGAAGCGTGATCATCGAACAATCAAGCGTTTCATTCAAATAGTCAACAGGGTCGCAAGAAGCGTGTGGAAAAACCAAGGCGCAAAATAACTGCCCATGAACTGAGAAAAGTCAAGCGTGCAGCTGCCACGATGCCACTTGCCACCAGTTTGGCCATATTTCAGAGCTGCAACATCACTGGAGTGCCCAAAAGCACAAGGTGTGCAATACTCAGAGACATGGCCAAGGTAAGAAAGGCTGAAAGACGACCACCACTGAACAAGACACACAAGCTGAAACGTCAAGACTGGGCCAAGAAATATCTCAAGACTGATTTTTCTAAGGTTTTATGGACTGATGAAATGAGAGTGAGTCTTGATGGGCCAGATGGATGGGCCCGTGGCTGGATTGGTAAAGGGCAGAGAGCTCCAGTCCGACTCAGACGCCAGCAAGGTGGAGGTGGAGTACTGGTTTGGGCTGGTATCATCAAAGATGAGCTTGTGGGGCCTTTTCGGGTTGAGGATGGAGTCAAGCTCAACTCCCAGTCCTACTGCCAGTTCCTGGAAGACACCTTCTTCAAGCAGTGGTACAGGAAGAAGTCTGCATCCTTCAAGAAAAACATGATTTTCATGCAGGACAATGCTCCATCACACGCGTCCAAGTACTCCACAGCGTGGCTGGCAAGAAAGGGTATAAAAGAAGAAAATCTAATGACATGGCCTCCTTGTTCACCTGATCTGAACCCCATTGAGAACCTGTGGTCCATCATCAAATGTGAGATTTACAAGGAGGGAAAACAGTACACCTCTCTGAACAGTGTCTGGGAGGCTGTGGTTGCTGCTGCACGCAATGTTGATGGTGAACAGATCAAAACACTGACAGAATCCATGGATGGCAGGCTTTTGAGTGTCCTTGCAAAGAAAGGTGGCTATATTGGTCACTGATTTGTTTTTGTTTTGTTTTTGAATGTCAGAAATGTATATTTGTGAATGTTGAGATGTTATATTGGTTTCACTGGTAATAATAAATAATTGAAATGGGTATATATTTGTTTTTTGTTAAGTTGCCTAATAATTATGCACAGTAATAGTCACCTGCACACACAGATATCCCCCTAACATAGCTATAACTAAAAACAAACTAAAAACTACTTCCAAAAATATTCAGCTTTGATATTAATGAGTTTTTTGGGTTCATTGAGAACATGGTTGTTGTTCAATAATAAAATTAATCCTCAAAAATACAACTTGCCTAATAATTCTGCACTCCCTGTATATCTTGTCCAGGTTGGAATTTCAGTGAAATTCTAACACAGTCAAAACTAGTATTTTATAAAGATTTTCTTTTTATATAATACTTATTTTTCAGGAGGGGGGAGTGGAATGACAGTGCCGCTTTAATGTCTACATGCCATTCAAAATGTGTGGATAAAAAGGCATATCTACAAAGTGTCCCTCCTTAGGAGAAAGAACCCAAAACTTTGTGTCCCAGGTGCCTTTATTTTTAATAGATGCCTGATACTGTTGGTGCATACACGTGTCTGAATAAAGCTTCACAGCAATAAAGCGAACAATCAAGTGTCTTTAAACCACAATAAATGTTTTGAATTTAGTGATTTCTTATACATGCATATTATTAGGAGGGAACTGTAGGGGGACTATCACAGGATTTCTAATATCATATTATTGTGTGTCTTCTAAATATGTATTTGTGAGGTGTGAAAAATTAAATTTAAATATATAATTCAACATCTCTTCTTCATTCAACTGGGTGTGTCTGTATTAGCTTCCTGTCAATGATTGTTATAAGATTTGTCCTTTGTACCTGGGAGTCCACAAAGAGGAAGTACAGATAACAAGGGAATGTAAACAAGGTTTCCATTTCTCCTTCTCATTTGCAATGTGTGCCCTGGGTATGCCACGCCTGAACTGGAATGTTAAATCTTTGATATAGATTTAACACAGATATGTCACTTTTGAAGGGGAAGGCGGGGATTTGCATATTTTTCAAAGATCTCCAAAGGTGTCATCACCACTCAGAGTCCAGGGACCACAGGGGGCAGTAGATAGAAGGTATATGTCCCCGTGGCAGCCACCATCCTCTTTCTGAAAACCGTCTTCGGGTCCTGACACTTAATCTGCCATGACCCGCATCAGTTCTGTACTGTTAAATTATTATTATTCATGAGAGTACAACACTGAAGTCTACAGAGAATTCCGCGAGAATGTGGAAGTCTCCACAGACCATGTCTTGTGACGAGCTAGATGATGCCTGATTTCCATAGCCATTGCTTGTGATGGTTGCTAGGATTTGACAAGAGTTGACAACAGAGCTTTTGTCTCAGGTTTGCCCATAAGAGAAAGTAGCCCCTACTGTGTCTTATGACAGCGCTGAATTGTTTTGGAATTTCAATGAAGCGCCAAATGCAGTCAGCATGAGTATTTTATAAAGATTATATGTTTATGCAATATTCATAAGTAATAGAGCTGTTTTAAAAGAAAGAGCATGAAGTTCCTGCAGATTATAGCTGCTTCTTTAATTTATTTAATGGTGTAATTTCTAGAGAAGTGACGTTCTTCTTTAAGACACTTTGTCGACACCTCCATCTACACCCTGTAAAATTAAAGTGAAACCTTTTGGTCACCTATTTATTTATTTATTTTAAATGTTGGGAATTAAGATACCCAGAAAAATAGAAAGACATGGGATCTGTGTGAAAATGGGTGTAAAAGGGAATAAACACCACCTCCACACTCATCCTATGTTGCTTTGGTGCCTACAACTTTATCTCCAGTCAGCATTATATTCACAGTTTGTGAATTTTTGCTTCTTTGTTTCTGGTGGGAATTATGAGAATATTCAAGAAAGTTACAAATTACTAGTGAAGTGGTAAAATTGGGAATCTCAGGTTCAAATCCTGGTTAGACACCAAATGATATACATCTGCCTACCATAGATTTTAAGCTTGTTTGAGTAGGGTCTTTCTCATCCCTTTCTCTAATTGCAAAGTACTGCAGAATATGTCGGTGCTAATGTAAATACCATTACTAATAATATCTATGTAGTGTGTATGTAAGAAATGACCAGTAAAATACATAGATTAGATGACATTAATATTGCACTAGTGACTTGTATACATGTGCTAGCAGTTTGATTAGTATAATGTATACATTAAATGTCATCCTGTATGCAGTATCACCATGTCATATTTATGACAATTTGCATTTAGATCTTCACATAAGCTGTAACAAGATATACACAAACAGATCTGATGTGTGACATACATTGGTTTTCTGCTGAATCATACGGCCTTATTCACATACATAACAATAAAAAGCGAAATAAATATATACAGTAGATTCCGCTTTGTTTGATCCTGTATGAATACTGATAAAACAGTTGTACAGTTTAGTAGTGTTTGGTAGTTAAACCCAGTTCCTTTACAAAGTTAAATAATAAGTATATAAAACGTCACAGCTGTTCTAACAGATTGTACTGGGCTACATTTGTACATGTCTACTTGTAATCTTTACAGTTTCCCTAGTGATACCATTTGTTAGTGTCAAACAGATACTACTGTTAAAGGAATGTATGGTATGTAGAAAAATCAGGAAGGGTATTTAGCTACAAAAAAACAATTATCCTACAGTAAATGTTCATAAAATATGTATTGTTGCAACAGTTATATAAATTAGGAGCCCAAGCCCTATTATCTATTGATACATTTTCAGCTTGCACGCAGCAGTATTAGTAAGAAAAACAAAAAATAAATATACATACATCCAAAATGAAAAATTCAATGAAATATGTATACAGTACCATGACAACTTAAAGGAGCATGTAAGTGCAGTATTTCAGTAGAAACACTGCACATACGAGATATTGCAAATAGCAATCGAAAGTGTACCCACCCCAACAGCCTTCATTAGCTCTCATTTATTTTTGTGCATATTCCATACACAGGCATTCATTCTCAAGGTGAAAGAGCTCAGGTGATGCGTTCTACAATGAAGGAACAGCAGTATAGGTATTCAAATTATGCAGCTGTTCAGAAGCAGAATGTCATTCATCTGCCACTCATTTTTGTTTAGCGCCCTGTTAAACCCAGGTAAGTGACAAATTGTTGTAAAACAGCTTTCCCCCTTACTGGGGATTCGCATCAAGGTACTATTGGCACCATAACCACTACAATAGACTGTAGTGATGATAATGATACTTGGAGTAACCTTTTAAAGAAGTACTGTGGAAAACATGCAATTTCTATTATTCTTATCACAGAATAGTTGACAATGCATTAAATATCCTTGAAAGCTCCTTGCAATGCACTTATGTATTGTTTGTTAGAAGCTTTTGTACTAAATACTGTACACACAATGAAATGTTATCTTATACAATTTGGGTTTTCTTTGCAAAAAGAATAAGAACAACCCACTTACAATACAAGAATAAAAAAATATT